TCCATTCTTCAAGCAAGGATTCTATCATATCTATCTGCCCTGCGGGCCCCCCTTGGAGTCCATGGGGATCTGGTGCCCAACCGATAGGCTCCTTCGTATTTTGATATACAGCTCCTCCTCCTGTAACAATAGAGTCCTGCACCCAATGCCTCCAGACCTTAGTCTTAGCCTTAGTGGAACAAGACTCAACGACTGCGGCAAACTCCTGGACCTGGTGCCCGATGTCGATCAGGTCGTCCAGGCTGACTCCTTCCCCTAAGCACAGCTGCGAATGAAATGCCTGCCAGCCTGGAACTCCAATAAGGTGGGGCTGAGCACCGACTATCTTCTTTACGATATCTTGGACCCCACGGGAGTCCCACCCGTGCTCCTTGCCCATCAAAAACCTCAGCTCCCCCAGCCAGACGGCCACCTAACGAAGGGCCCTCGAGGCCTCCTTCACCATCAGGAAAATAACTGATCAAATAGAAGCCGCCTCGAACACACCCAATGACCCAAGCATGGTGCCTCGAGGGTTTATCACATGTTGATGTCGCTCAACGGCTTCGCCAACACCGACGTGATGTTTCACTGCGATGCCCGCGCCTGATGAGACGCCATCTTGAGGGGTCTTAGAAGCCCCTGCCGATCTGAGCTTCCGGCCTTCACTTGCCATCGTTGACTCTTTCGCCGCTGCCCCAGCCGTCAAAATCTTACACTCTTGCAAGCATACGGCATGGGCTCCACGAGTGTAATCATCTGTGAGAAGTTGCATCGCTCCACTCCACCCCGAAGTGTTCGCGGTGACGATCCTCCATGTAGTGGTCGGCCTCGATGAGGTGCGTGATGGCTTGTCGCCATCTGCTGTGGGTTGACTGGGTGGGCTAGGAGCTCGACGCCCCTTTGCCCGCGTCTTTGGCCACGAGGCCAGCGGCCTTCTGGCGCAGATCGGACCCCCGCTGCCCTTTGCCTGCGCCACTGCCGCCACCACTTGCCGCCGCCGACGCCGCACCCCCAGCGCCCGACCCTGTACCTGGAGCCCCCGTTGTAGCCGTAGCTGCCGGAGAAGCCGATGGATCTGGCGCGGTCTGCTCTTCGTCGGTCTTGCGCTTCTTGCCAGCGAGCCTGGCCTTAAGCGTCTCGTGTTCACGTTGGCATTCTTCAGCCTGTTGTTTGAGATCTCCAAAGAGCTGCTTCGCCAAGGTACCAAACTGGGACTTGAGGCTGTTCTCCCTATCGCGAGCCTCCTTGAGATCGGTCTCAGAGATATCCACAAAGTCACTGAGCCCGAAGAGACCTTCGCCACATGATAACTCCCAATTCTCGCTGCCATTGAGGATGTCCTCGAGGCATAGAACTGGTTTGCGATCCTCATGCGGCTTGGCGACGGCCCCGTGCAACTCAGTGACCGCTTCCTTGTATATGTCCTCCTGCTTGCTGAGGTTGTCAAGGGTCTGCTGCACGAGCTTACCCTGCTCCTCGACTTGCTTGTGTAGATCCTCCAATACAGCCGTCTGCTTGCTGAGGTCTGACTCCAAGCTCTGGATGAGTCTGTGGCTCTGGTCTGCACGAACTTGAGGCGACAGCTCCGATCGATCTTTGATTACCAATGCGTGTTGGTAATACTGCGCGAATTCGTGATTATTTGCCTTCTGTGCCAAGCTGATGAGCTGCTTGGTCTCACTGATGTCCAGCTCGGGGACTGGATCCTTGCCTCCTTGAAAGCCCACGGCCAGCGGAGCACCGCCACCCAGACCAGGAGGAACATCAAGCCCATCACCTGCTTCAGCCTTATCACGCACTTTCCCTTTCTTCTTCTTGTACTCGCCCGTCTTCCAGTGCTTCCCACAGTGTTTACAGTGGGCCACCGCGAGCTCCGTCTTCGCGCATCCACAGTGGCTGCATCGCCAAATGTGATCAGAAGAAGAGTTTCCATGCCACTGAGAGTAGCTGGTTGGTGCCATATGTGCAATACGGTCACGCCACGGGTCCAGGACCACCTTGAGCCCCAACCCCAGGGAAGGCGAAGGCCCCAGGCAACGGCTTAAGCCAATGGCTACGGAGCTCCTCCTCCTCCTTCTCCTCCTCCCCCTCCTCCTCCTCCTTCTCCTCATCCTCCTCCTCCTCCTCCTCCTCCTCCTCCTCCTCCTCTTCTCCTACCAATCCTCCTCCTCCTCCTCCTCCTGCTGCTGCTCCTCCTTCTCCTCCTCCTCCTCGCCCTACTCCTCCCACCACTCCTGCTCTTCAGTGCGTGGCGGAGCGGGGAACAAGAGCCGAATGCTGCCAGAGGGTGTCCCTGGCACATGGTGCTGCCAGGATTCCCCAGGACGCCCACATTATGAAGTATCGTATGGGAAGCCTTCGCAAGAACGACGGATGGCTGTTATGCCTGATTCGAAGCCACTATGTCGGATTTAATCGGACTAAGCCTGGAATCGAACCCGATTAAGCGGGATTGACTTGGATTGAAAGGGGTTATGTGGATGCTGAAACAAACCTGTAAGGAACTGCGTCCTAACCTGGAATGCCTACAGAGTACCAGTCACGAGGCAGAGAGAGGCCCAGGGGCTCCAGAGTGGCCAGGGCAGCTGGGGGCACCTGGGGCTGGGAATACCTCTGCCAAACCTCGCAAAGGAAGGAAGGAATGCCGCCCAAACGACCCGCTCTGGAAACTCTGGATCAAATCTTGGAGGGCCGACTTTTACTTCCGCCGGCTTCCTCCGACCGAGCCGCGGGCGTTTTATTTCCTCCTGCTTCCGCCGAAGACGAAATGCACCGAAGGGGAAGTCATGTCTGGAATGTCCGAAATCGAGATGGGGTAGGAAAATTGCATTGCATTGGCGATATTGGCGTCGGAATCAACAACCGCGAATTGAAAGGAAGGCCAGGTACCCTGGGAGGCCGGCCTAGGCCCCAGGCGACTCGGGGTCCTGAGACACTTGGCAGAATAACCAGCGCAGAGACATGACGGAGCACGCGCTAACATTAGTGCACCGATCAAAGGAAGAGGCCTGCGAGGGAAGGGGAAGAGGAACGGAGAGAGAAAGATGTTGGGTAAATGGCCGAAGCGCAAGATGGAGAATTGCCCGGCTGCGCCCGAGAAGCTGCCGAGGCTCTCTACGGCTGTCTATGCGGGCTGAAGCCGTTGCCAGAGCTCAAGCCGGAGGCCTGCTTTGCAGACCTGCGCGCCGCCACGCTGCTTCCGGGCAGGCTGTGCTGTCCGGCGAGGGGGAGGCGGGGGAGGAGGAGGAGGAGGAGGTGCAATCCTCCGACCCCCCTATCTACTCCGGTCCCGTAACTTGAGGATCCAGGTTCAGGGATATTTGCTTAGGTAAATTGTTTGTAGTCCTTTGGTTCTCGTCTTGCCAAAGTATTGCTGCTCATGTCCTCTCCTGTCCTCCCTCCTCTCCTCTCTCTCCGCTTGTTCTTGGCAAACTCCTGGCTTCTCCTTCCTCATCACTCCTGGGTGCTGCCGAACTGGAACTGCGCAACCGTCGCCACTTTCGTCAGCTCCTGGGAGGTCTAGCGGAACGTCGAACGAGGACCCACATGGGACCTCGCCCTCGCTGGGAGCTGCTAGCTGCGCAGCTGTGGTCGCTTTCTTGAGCTCTTGGGAGGCCCAGCGGAGAGGCGTCCCATGGGGATCGAGAGCCTGTCCCGCCGCCGCCGCCCCCCCCCCCCCTCTGGATTCTGCCAGCTGTGCACATCTCGCCGCCACTGTCATGAGCTCCTAACAGGTCCAGCCGAGTGATGTCCTGCGCTGATCCAAGCGAGACCTCGCCTCCCCTGGCGATGCCGATTGCGCCACTCGCGCCGGTTTCGTGGGTTCCTGGGAGATCCAGCGGAATGGTGTCCATGGGGCCATGCATCCCATGGCGCTGCCCACTGCTCAAGTGTCGCCACTTTCGTGGGTTCATGGGAGGTCAGCCGAGTGGTGGCCTACGCAGATCCAACTGAGACCTTGCCTCCTGCGGTGATGCCATCAATGCAACTGTCGCTATATTCTTGGGCTCCGGGGAGTTCCAGCGGAACGGTGCCCCACGCATATTCACATGAGATCTCGCCTCCCTGGGCGATGCCAACTGGGTAACCGTCCCACTTTCGTGCGCGCGTGGGGGGTGCAGCAGAGTGGTGTCCTCCACAAATTCAGATGAGACCTCGCCTCCATGGCAGCTGGCAACTGCGCAACTGTCGACACTTTCGTGGGCTCTTAGGAGGTCAAGCGGAGTTGTGTCCTACGCAAGTCTAAATGGGACCTCGGCTCCCTAGCCGATATCAACTGCCCGACGGTGGCCACTTTCGTGGGCTCCTGGCCGGTCCAGTGTAGCGGTGTCCTATCCCGATCCACATGAAACCTCGCCTGCGTTCAGGCTGCCAAGTTCTCGGTAGGTCCAAATCCTTTTCAAAAGCGAGGGGCGATCGTTTATGTAGGGGACATTCCCCGCGGTGGACAGGAATTCTTGCAGGGACTGTTGAGGGGGGGTCTTGCGACAGGAGGGTTCAGTGCACCGTCGTTGACGCATCATTTGGTTTACTCTGGGCCTCCTCCTCCTCCTCCTCCTCCTCCCTCCTCCTCCCTCTTCCTCCCTTATCACCATCCTCTACCTCCCTCCCCTCCTCGTCTTCTTCCACCTTCCTCCCTCCGTCCCTCCTCTTCCTCTTCCACCTCCCTCCGTCCCTACGTCCCTCTCCTTCCTCTTCCCCTTCTCCCCCCCTCCTCTGCCACCTCCCTCTCTTCCTCCTTTCCTCCCTCCCTCGAAGAGGGAGCCTGGAGGGAGGGTTTACTCCAACATCGTCGATGCATCTTGGGTTTACACTGGTCTTTCTCCTCCTCCCCCTTCTCCTCTTCCTCCTCCTCTTTTTTCTACTCCGCCTCCTCCTCGCTTTTCAGGGGGGTCCAGGGGTGGTTAGGTCCAGCTCTGGCCTCCCGCAGATCCCCTCTTCCCCCTCTCTCACCACGCTGTGGGCAGCAGTGAACTCCAATGACCTCCACCTCCTCCTTGCCCTCCTCGCCCTCTCGCCTGGACCTCGTGGAGAGCATGGATCGGCTCGCCGGTGAGCTGGCTCACCACCTCCAGAGGGCCGCCCCGCACGGGTGGGACGAGGGTGGGGAGGGCGAGGAGAGGCCGAGGAGCCCAGGAGGACCCTCCCTGCCCTCCTCCGTGCCCTCCTGCGTGCCCTCCTCCGTGCCCTCCTCGCTCCCTCCTCGCGCTCCCTTGGTCCTCCTTGCTCATCCTTGCTCCTCCTCGCGCCTCCCTGCTCCTCCCCCGCCTCCTCCTCCTCCTCCTCCTCCTCCTCCTCCTCCTCCTCCTCCTCCTCTTTCTCCTCCTCTTTCTCCTCCTCCTCCTCCTCCTCCTCCTCCTCCTCCTCCTCCTCCTCCCTCCCTCCTTCTCCTCTTCCTCCTAATCCTCCTCCTCCTCCTCCTCCTCCTCCTCCTCCTCCTCCTAATCCTCCTCCTCCTCCTTCTCCTTCTCCTCCTCCTCCTCCCCCTCCTGCCTTGCATCCTCCCTGTCCAACTCCTCTTCCTCCCCCTCGTCCTTGCCCTCCACATGAAGCCTGATGGCATCGGAGCTCGTGACACGAACAATGCCAGACACGTCCTCCCCACCTCTCCTCCCCCATGTATCCCTAGGTTTGCGGTGCCAGCGCCCGCGCCCCCCCGCGCCAGGCAGGCTGCTTTCCCCGTTGCTCTTCCAAGAGCTTCCTGGAGAAGCTTCGCTCTCGGTACTGCCCCAATGGGCAGGTCTGCTGGCCACTTGGAGCCACGCTATCGCAATGGCCGCGGGAGGTCGAAAGCCTCCCCCGCCCCCGAGCGCCAACTCATGGTCCGCTGTCCCTCCCCCCAAACTTTTAGCTCGAGGCTGTTGCGTTCCTCAGCTGCCCGAACTCGTACAGGGACTGGCGCAAAGATGTTCCCAAGAGGACGAGTGCGAGAGGAAACGTGCGTGACGTGTGGCAGGAGTGCTGAAAAGAACGTGGAGCAGGCGAGAGAAGCTGGAGACATCGGGCAACACTCCAGAGTAAGCACAGTGTCAAAGACCTGACCCATCCCTCCCTCCCTCCCCCCTCTCCCCTTTCCCAAACATCTAACGTCCTGGCAGAAATCACAAACATCAAAACGGAAGTACATCTTTCGTCACTTTCAAACTCCGGGGGGCCCTCAGAGGGCCCTGGCATCGTCCCGTCAAAAAAACAACAGGTTAACAAAAACAGCCCTGAGGAAAGAGTTGAGAATATTTGGGGCCCCGTATGGAATCCAGACATTTGATCTCGGGGCTTCTCCCTCGTTCCCATTCCTTTGGGGCATCCACGTCCTCCAGGACGCCCTGGTCGGTAGGTGCAAAAGAGCTCGGCGCAGTGGGAAAGGATGATCCAGGATGGGCGGGAGGGGCAAGATGTCACACATGGCGCCAACCCAGACATCCGATGCCGTTTTTTGTTGTTATTGTTGTTTGTTTGTTTGTTTGTTTGTTTGTTTGTTTGCTTGATTGTTTTTTCCTAAGGCGGGGTCCCCAGAAAGGCCCCTTTCCCCAGGGCCGGTTTTTCATCCCAAATGACGACTTTTTGTTGGTCCTGGCGAGGGCCCCCGGAAGCCGAAACGGCAAACAGCCTTACGATCTGATTTGTTTCACAACGCGGGCATGTTTGGGAACGCACCCAGCCTGCCCTTGCCTCCCCCCCCCCCCGACGATGCCTCCGCCGACGGCGTCGCGCTCCGCTGTTCTGGGGGGCCGAGCAGGGGGGCCAGGCGGAGAGCAGGAAAAGATGCCCCCTCCCTGGAGGCAGCCAGAAGGTCTGAACTTGATGAACCCCGCGAAAATCAGTCAAGAAGGGAAGATGAGGGCAACTCCGCTCAAAAAAGGCTCCCCGGACCCCTCCCGGGGTCCATCCTATATACTCGTTCACCCTGGATCCGTTTTTGATGGTCCCGGGGCCCCGAAAACGACCCGGGACAACAACAACTTCGTCGAGCCCAGAACCTCGGGCCTCGCCCGCCCGTCCTGCTTGCCAGAACCAATGCTGGGCAGCCTCGGACCCCCAGCAGCGCCGGCTCCAACCCCCGCCCGCGAGCACGCCTGCACGGCCGCGGCCATCGCCCTCCGCCCTGTGGCGCCCTCTCGCCTGCCCTGCCCTGCCGTGCGAGGGCCACGGCCCGCCCCCGCCCGCTGCTGGCTGCCGGCGGCCAGCCTCCTCCCTTGGACGAGGCGAAGCCAAGACCAGCACAATACGGGCTCAGGGTCAGATACCGCTTTCTATTTGTGGGCGACCGTCCGGATCATCTGGCGGGGGGAGGGGGGGGAGGCGCTGGCCGATACCTTCACCTTCTATGCGCTCTGGGCTTCCCCACGCGAGCCCGCGTGCACCCAGAGCTGCGCACCCCCTTCGGACCTGCGCTGGCGACAAGGTCAGGGTATCCGGAGGGAGAGGGGGGGGGGGGGCGGCGGGCGGGCCCGAGAACCTCGGCGATCGCCAGGCCCTTACAGAACCGGCATCTGAACCGGCAATCTCTCGGATGCCGGGCGGTTCTGGAGGGTGCGTCGGGCGCCGCGGCCGTCCCGGAGCGCTCCAGAACGGTCGGAAGGCGCCCTGGAGCGCTCTGGAGCGACTCGTCCTGGCCCTGGGCCCTCCCGATCTCAGCCAGCCCTCACCCTTGCCGTCGCTCGGACGTCCATTTCCCTTGCATTATGCGGTTTCGCGCGTGTTTCTTTTGCTCGATGGTCCAGGATGGTCCTCGATGGTTCTCGCCGGGGAAAGATGCACACGTCCGGGCGATGCCAAGCACCTGTGTCGTCCAAGGCCCGGGTAGGGCCAGCGGCCTTGAGTGGCGCCGCGCACGCGCGCGCGCGTGGACGGCCATGTCCAGGCTCGCAGGGCCGCGTACGCGAGCGATCGCCGAAGGGTGTGGGTTGGGGGGTGGGGCTCTCGAGCAGTTCTGGCGTTTCTTCGGGAGGCTTTGGCAGTCCTGGGAGGTGATCGGGCGGTCCAAGGGGGTGTAGGTGGGGGGGGTGCTCTGGCGGGGCGAGGGGCAGAAGTGACCTCTTGCTTATCGTCCTCTTGCTGCTGCTGCTGCTGCTGCTCGTCTTCCTGACTCTGCTGCGTGCTGCTCCTGCCGCCACTCGCCTGCTCATTCTGCTGCGACTGGTTCTCCTGCTTTTCCTGCTCCTCCTCCTTTTCTTCTCCACCTCAACTTTCTCACGGGTTATGCTGCTCCGCGTGCGACATGTTAACCTCAGCGCCGACCCGATCTCCCCCGCCACCTCGCTCTTTCAATGTCCTTTGGGAGCAAATTCACAGATTGTCAACTCGAACAGGCGTCGACCATGCAATAAGCAATCACAGCGCTGCCCGATCAACACGCTTCGGCAACGCTTTGACCTGGATATAACGTTGGTTAGATTGTTGCTTGGCATACCTGTTCTCGAGATTGCTGGAATCAGCAAGGTCCCTCGCGCGGGCATGGCCATCGCATGTGGAGGGGGGGGGTCGCTTCGTTCTTTGCTCCGTCTCCTCGGGGGCGGCCAAGAGGGGGCGGCCCAAGGCATGGCTGGCAGCATGTGCGCGGCCCAAGGGGGGGCCAGGGACGAAATGAAATAAGATGAGGCGCCATGAAACCTAGGGAAATATCATGACCCACGCCATGATATCCACCCCCCCTAATCATCACCCCCTTTTTGCCGCCCCCGATCTCCCAGCTGCTTTCTCCCCCCCCCCGGTCTCCTGCCACCTCCGCAGGTGCTCAACGTGGACACTGCTCTCATGTCTCTCCCCCCGATAGTGGCCGGGGAGTTGCCCGCCCCAAACCGCCTCCCGTTTTCTGCTTGGAAAGACAAAGGTTTGAGATTTGAACATCATGCTGGATATCCCAATTGGAAGATATTAAGAGTTAAGATATCAGGATTTGGGAACGCTCCCATGCTTTTATCTTATCTCGGAGCGTCTTCGGTGCCTCAGAATGGAGCTGCGGCTGCAACGGTGGCCTCATTTTGGGATCAGCGTTTTGCTCCCGTCGTGCAGAATGGCGCTCTCGGCCCAGAGCGGGCCACTATTTCTAAGTCCGAGTCTTTCGACATCGTTGTCGCCCCCCTCCTTTCCCCTCCTCCGCCTTCCCCTTGTCCTCCTGCTCCTCCCGCTCCTTCTACTCCAGCACCTGTTGCTGCTGTCCGTCCTCGTCCTCCTCCTTTCTGCTCATCCTCCTGCTCATCCACCACCTCCTTCTCCAATGTACGCAACTCCCCTTTCTAATGGCGCATAACAGCACAATAGGGCCTTTTTCCCCCATGCCTAAGGGGTTCTTACTTGGTTAAAAGTTGGTGCCTCCTATTGTGACTTTGCCCGCTGCTCGGAGAAGTTCCTCGGGTTCCCCGCCCACGGTGCCCCCTATTCTTACGTTGCCCGTTTCCTGGACGTTCCTCGGGTTCCCTGGGTTCCTCGGGTTCCCCGCCCCCCGTGCCTCCTATTGTTACGTCGCCCGTTCCTCGGAGGTTCCTCGGGTTCCCCAGATTAGTTGGGTTCACCACCCATGGTTGCCCTTAGCAATGCCAAGCAACGCCAAGCAACGCCAAGCAACACCATGCAATGCCAAGCAATGCCAAGCAATGCCAAGCAATGCCAAGCAATGCCACGAAATGCTAAGCAATGCCAAATAATGCCACGCAGTGCCAACCTATGCAAAGCAATGCCAATCAATGCCAAGCAATGCCAAGCAATGCGCCCAACGATGCGCCCATGCAATACGCTTTCTCCTCATTGGGGTCTCGCCGGGTTCATTGGTTTTCCAGTTCACCTGTGACACGCGTCGGGCTGGGTGGTAGGGGTAGGATGTCAGATATGACGCGAGCGCACCCAGCTTGCCTCTCGCCTCTCTCCTTCCTCGCTTCCCCATCGCCCATCCCTTTCCTCTCCGATTCCCCCCCTCCCCCGCCCTTGCCACCTTGCCCCCCTCCCTCGAACCACTCGTCCCCGCCCCTCTCCGTTCTTCCCTGTCACTCCTCCTCCCGCTGCTGTGCCGCGACTGCTGCTGCTGCTCCTCCCACATCCCTCTTACTAGCTAGTCGCTCTGCGGTTGACCGGGAGTTTCTGTATATATGTTTGTATGTATCTGTCGAAGGTTGGGGGGTGAGATCGAAGTGGAACGGAGAGCCCCCCACCGGGAAATCGATTTCGGTTTCGTGTTCGTGTCGTGCGTGCGGGCGAGGCGAATCTGCGTGCGCGGGCGAGAGGAATTCAGTCAGCTGTCGCTAGTGGTTCGCCAACATAAATGTTTCCCCCGCCGGCGCGTGTCAAGCGGTGGCCCGCATTGTCCCGTCGGTTGCCCGCCGTTGTCCTGTCTGTCGCTAGTGGTTCGCCAACATAAATGTTTCCCCCGCCGGCGCGTGTCAACCGGTGGCCCGCATCATCCCGTCGGTTGCCCGCCGTTGTCCTGTCTGTCGCTAGTGGTTCGCCAGATGTTTCCCCCGCCGGCGCGTGTCAAGCGGTGGCCCTCATTGTCCCGTCGGTTGCCCGCCGTTGTCCTGTCTGTCGCTGGTGGTTCGCCAACATAAATGTTTCTCCCGCCGGCGCGTGTCAAGTGGTATCCCGCATTGTCCCGTCGGTTGCCCGCCGTTGTCCTGTCTGTCGCTAGTGGTTCGCCAATATAAATGTTTCCTCCGCCATCGCGTGTCAAGCGGTAGCCCGCATTGTCCCGTCGGTCGCCCGCCGTTGTCCTGTCGTGATATCGATCGTGAGATCGATCGTGTAATTGATAGTGGCACCGAAGGTGAGATCGATAGTAAGACCGAATGTTGGATCGATAGTGAGATCGATAGTGAGATCGATAGTGAGATCGATAGTGGGATCGATAGTGAGATCGGTTGTGAGATCGATTGTGAGATCGATACTTAGATCGGGTGTGAGATCGATCGTGAGACCGATTATGAGATCGATTGAAAGATCGAGCCCGCATTGTCCCGTCGGTGGCCCGTCGGTGTCCTGTCGTGAGATCGATCGTGAAATCGATAGTGAGATCGATAGTGACATCGATATTGAGATCGATAGTGAGACCGAATGTGAGACCGATTGTGACATCGATTGTGATATCGATTGAGATCGATAGTGAGACCGAATGTGAAATCGATAGTGAGATATATTGCGAGATTCATAGTCGGATCGTGGGGTCGACAGTGATATCGATGGTGAGATCGATCGTGACATCGATTGTGAGACCGAATGTTGGATCGATAGTGAGATCGATAGTGAGATCGACCGTGAAATCATAATTTTCTCGCCGGTTGCCCATGATGGCTGCCCATCATGGTTGTTCATCACGCTTGCTCATCATTGTCCCGCAGGTTGCTCATCATGGTTGCTCATCTTGGGACACCATCATGGTTGCTCATCATGGGACACCTTCTCTTGCTTCTCCTCCTCGTGTCCTTAATGTTTTAAGCTCTAACCAAATTCTTTAGATCTTTAGTTCGGCTCGAGGGCTCAGGCCATGCGACGCAAGTCGGTCAGCTCGTCGCCTTTTCGCTAGGACGGGCGCTCGATTGCAATTCATCGCCTCCCTCCCCCTCTCCTCCCTCCTCCGAAGACGGTGGCCGCTTTCATTTGGTATCATGGGCCGGGGGGTGCCGTTCTTGGGCCACTTAGTCGTCAGAGGACAAATAAATGCCGTCATTTATTGGCCATGCCGTCCTTCCAGTTCCCCTGCCTGTGTGAATTTGCATTTATGAAGATCTCCTCATCGTCGCCACCACCATCACCATCATCATCATGACCGTCTTCATTTTCATCCGCCTCGCCCTCCTCCTCTTCCTCCTCCTCCTTCTCCTCCTCCTCCGCATCCTCCTCCTCCTTCTCCTGCCCGTCACTGTCCTCCTCCTCCGGCCCAAGGCGCCCGCTGCGTTCGCGCTTCCCCCCCAGGGCGCCCTCCTCGAGCATTTCTGCGGGCGGGCTATCCGCGAGATGGAGGGCCGCGTGGATGACGCGAAGAAGGCGGAGCTCATGAAGTGCGCCGCCAGTCTTGGGGCCCCCACCAGGAAGCCAGCGGCGCCGACGCAGCGGCGCGCAGCCAAGGACGCGCGCGAGGATTGCAAGCTGCGGGAGGCCGCTCAGCGGCAGTCGCCCCCGGCACGCGCGGGCGAGCCAGGCGCTGCCAGCTCCGACCTGGCGGCGCCGTCACTTTCGCATGGGCCCGCGTCGATGCAGGCCTCGGCGCGCGTAGGCGAGCCAGGCGCTGCCAGCTCCGGCCTGGCCGCGCCGCCCGTTTTACGCGGGGCCGCTTCGGCGGGGGCGCCGGGGGCGCGCGCGGGCGGGCCCGGCTCTTCCAGTTTGAGCCGGGCGCGCGCAGCGCCGTCCGCCCCCGCCACGGTTGCACGGAAAACGGTCGCGGGGGCGGCCGATGCCACCTCCAGCGACGTGCGGAACATGAGCCGGAATGAGTTGCGTGCACTGGCGACCTCGTTGGGGGTCGGGACTCGGGAGAGCAATAAGAGCTCGGAGACGCTCCGGGCGGCGTGCTGTCGCGCCCTCCCGCAGGCCCCGCAGCGACAGCACTCCCGGGCGGGCGCGAGTGAGCCAGGCGCTGCTAGCTCCGACCTGGCGGCGCCAGCAGCTTCGCGCGAGCCCGCGTCGGTGTCTTGCGCTGCCAGCTCGAGCCAGGCGCAGGTTAAATCGCCGGTCTCCGCCATCGCGACACAGAACTCGGTCGCGGGGGCGGGCCATGTCACTTCGACCGACGTGCAGAACATGAAGAAGACAGAGTTGCGTGCTTTGGCGGTCTCGTTGGGGGTCGGAGCTAGGGGCATCCGACAATCCCATGGGCTTCTCCGCTCGGCCTGTTGTCGCGTCCTCTAAGGGCAGGTTGGGATAGCTTCCTTTTTCCAGCCTGCCGTGGCCCCAGGTGCTCCGGGCCGAGAAGGAGGCGACGCGCCGGTCTCTGACAGCGCATTTTCAATGGATCTAAAGCCAGCGAAGCCGCGCGAACCACTGAGGGCCGTTCGCAAACCATTGTGGTTGCGTCAACCAGCTTGGTTGTCTGCGCAGAGAGCGCGCGAGAAGAAAGTTCGGCAGCGGCGCGCTCAGCGCGCGCGGCGCACTAAGCGCGGGCGACGTAAGAATCGCATTCACGACAAGATCCGCAACAAGCGCACTCAGCGCGCATCAGCGGCTGTCCAGCGGGGCAAGAAACGATATCAAGAAGACTTCGCAGAGAGAGCGAAGCGCAAGCATCGAGTGTTGAAATCCCGCAGGGAGGCGCCTCGCGTGAATCGGGGGCCGGCGATGCCGAAGAGCGCCAGGGCAGAGCGTGCTGGTATCCTCGGCAGGGAAGGCAGCTGGGAGCGGGCGGCGGAAGAGTCTGCCAGGCTCTGCCAGCAGGATGGCCCCAGTCATGCACCGCCGTGTTACGCGGGGCTGGACCAGGAACACCAGCGGAGGCTGACCTCGCAAATGTGCGGGTGCTTGGAAGACGTGCAGTGGGCAACGTGCGTGGGTTGCTAGCGTGCGTGGTATGATTTGCCTGCCGATTATGAGTTCTCGTACACGCAGCAGGGGCTCAGGGCGCAGCAGGCTCCGTGGTTTGAACCGGGCGCGAGCGTCATCGCGAGGGGAGGCAAGAAAAGCCACATGAACCAGTGGCGTCTGGAAGCAGCCGGGTCGGTGGAGGAAGCGCAGTGCTATCTGGCGGCAAACTACCCTTCAGGAGAGTGCGAGAGTACCGCCCGCAGGTTGCACGACCCAGAGAGAAAGAGGATCATCACGATTTGCGGTGGATGGCACATGTACGTCGGCGAAGATCATGTCCCCCCACCCCCCGCCGGCGAGATGCGCATGTGTGACTTCGTGGTGGGCCCGGTTTGGTGCGCGCCGAGGGTTGATGGGCCCGCGATCGCGCGTGGGCGCTTCGATGGTGTTCCTCCGCCAAGCCCTGCCAGCGAGGAGGCCTTCTCCAGAGTGCTCGGTTTCAGCGCGGGCGAGTTCGCGCATCCGGTGGCCGCACTTTCGGGCCACGGGGAAATGGTATTGGCATTGGTGCATCCGCTTGCGCAGGCGCACGCCATCCCTCGCACGGGTCAGTTGGCGCATGTCGGCCACATCTGCAACTTTCGCCAAAAAGGTCAGCAAGTTCCTCAAGAGTCTGCCGGTCATGCCTGCGGACATGCCTGTGGTGCACGTTCGCCCCCGTGCGCTGGGCTCTGCCAGCGCCAAGGGAAAGTCGGCGGGCCGGGCCTTATTCAAAGTCGACATCTCCAAACTCAAGGCTGCCTTTTTATGGTTGAAGGCGAACAACCCATATTCTGCGGAAGTTGAGTGGCGGGACGACGCCGCCGACGCGTGGACCGGCGACGAGGTGGAGGTGGGCACGACGCGCGAGGCCGACAGCGACGCCTCCCATGTCCCTCCGGTCACTCCGACATGTTTCGCCAGGTGGATGGAGCACGGCCGCACTGAAGCTGTTGCCAGTGACTTCGGGTACGCGATCGGGAAAAGACTGCGAGAAGTCATCTCGGATGGGGATTCTGATGACGAGGGCCCAGGTCCCGCCGGCGCCGCAGGCTCTCGCATGTGGGCGGAGGTCCGGCGCCTCGTTGCTGATGTGTTCGGGAAGAGCGTCTTTCGCATGGCCTCCACGCTTCCGCAAGATACCCTTGCCGTGGCCTTGGCCGCGCGGGGTATCCTAGCCCTGGGTTTACCTCGAGACGGGGACGCCACAGACACGCTTCGGGCACTCCGGACCCTCGACACAAACGAGTGCCCGGTGGACCTCCACGTGTTCCGCGCCGAGCTGGATGCCGTCATGATGGAGGAGTACGACGAGGACCCACAAGTCGTTCACGCTGGCACGACCGCGTCTGCTCAGGCGGGCGACGATGTGGGGCTGCGCCAGGGGGTGCTCGACTCGCTGGCCCACGTGGCGGAGGAGGTCATCGGGCGGTCAGTTCATGAGCCTGGCTCTGCCAGGCCGCGCCCGGACGCGGCGCCTGAGGTGGACGTGGCGATGGCGGGGGAGCCATCGAACGACGCGTCACGACAAGGACCCGCCGACGAGCCGCCCACCGCGGCGCCAGGCTCTGCCAGCGCGTGCGCCGACGAGGACCCGCTGGCCCATGGCCGGCCAGTGAAGTACCCGCGAGTGGATCCTCCGGAAGTGGAGGATCAGCCCAGGCAGGCCATACGGGAGGACACGCCTGGGTACATTGTGAAAGCGTTCCCGAAATTGTTTCCATGTGGCACCGGCGACTATCACGGCGCGAGGCCCTGCCAGCGCCGAGCGCTTCGCTTCGAGGAGTGGGGTCGGTATGTGATGTTGTGGCACGACGGCCGGTTCATGCGCCGCACCCGCTTTCGGCATTGGCTCCTGGACACCATGCTCCGGGTCATGATCCCAGGCGTCCAGCGGACCTTCTTCCGCACGCGCAAGGCGTGCGAGGACTATACTCTCGACTCGCTCATCGACAAGACCAAACGGCGCGAGCTGGTGCAGCAGATGTCCACTGTGACGAATCTGATCCCGGGATCCATTGGCGAGAGGCGGAAGATGCACCAGGAGCTCGAGGCGATGGCCCACCAGATCGAAGCAGAGACGGCTGACCTCGGAGTGAATGGGGGCGCCGGCAGAATCCCGTCTGGCTTTTGCACACTCACGTGCAGCGTGTACAAATGGGCACAGTTGCATGCGAAGTTGCTCAAGGCGTACCCGTCCGGCGACGCTGGCGATGCTTCATGTAAGGAGTACTATACGCAGTGGGAGTCCCTTCCCCCAGGCCCTGCCAGGGAGGCTGCCATGAGAAAAACGTATTACCAGTTGGCTGTTCGGGATCCCGGAGCGGTGGCGTGGTATTGCGCGGTGAAGCTGGAGATGGCCACCGCCCTGACCGCCGCATTGCTGACGGCACAGTTGCAGTCCGACGACGTGCCTGGGCGTGCCGACGCGCAGCAGAAAGTCGAGGCGGAGCTGGTCTCCCGCATGGGGGTCGACATCTCTGTGGCTGACATCCCTGACTTGAGCCACTTCGGCCAGGTCGTCCGGGCTGCGAATCATCTTGGATGGGAGGGGGAGGGGGAGGTGGAGGAAGAGGAAGATGAGGAGGACGAGGAGGAGGATGTGGCGCCACCTCGGCCAGGTAGACGCCTGGTACGCGAGATTCGAGTGGAGCGAGGGCGGCATCATCCATGCCCACATGGCCTTCTGGGTGATCGGTGATCCTCGCATCGACAAGGTCGAGGCGCCCAGAGAAGCAGCCCCAGGCATTGCCGGGGTGCAGATCGAAGTGCCTCTGCCTGGCCAACATGCGGTGCCGCAGTCGCAGGCGGCGGGTCGACTGGACCGTCGAGGGGTGAGTGCCGCGTCGCGCATCGGCAAACCGAATGACACAAAACGCCAAAGCGAAAGAACAACAAACAATCCGCCACGTCATTCACACCATCATCGGCCATCAGCACCACATTCACCACAGTTGTCGTCATGAGCCACCCCCCTCCCACCCACCCCCACAACCTCCTTATCACCCGCAGGGTGGTCGTATAGGTATCTATATATAGAGAGAGGGGGCGTGCGCCTGATTCGCCAGAAACGGCGCCAGGAAGCACTCTTGGCCCTTCCCCTGGGGCCAATGTTGTGAGGATGTCCCGAGCGAGAGCGCGGGCCTGGGAACCTTCCAGCGGAGCTGCGGAATTCGCCGGCAGTGGTGCACACAACGCCGCTGCTGGCCTCGCTTCCGCGCGCGCCGAGGGTCAGGCTGAGGCGCTTCCTGCGCAAAGTCCACGACACAGCCGACTCCTCCCTGCCGTGCCACCAGGCGTGTGGTTGGGCGGGCCGGGCGTTTCGCACGCGAGGTCCCCACCTTTGAGGATCCCGCGGCTGGAAGTGTCCATCCGCGGCGCGGGCGGAGGGCGTGCCGATTTTGAGCACGGGGCTCTCGCCTCTGCGCCGCGCACGCTCGTCGTCAGCATTTTAAGAAATGCGCGTGAATGGAAGGCACGTGCAGTGTATTCAACACGGACCTCTCGCCGTGGCTCCGCGCACGCTCGTCTTAAACGTTTCCACCAGCTATACGGCTGGAGCTACCCAGCGTGACCCCTGATTAGGGGTCTTCTTCCTTCTACACCAGTTCGACACAGCTCTGACCAATTTCAAACAATGCAATTCAACGCATTGTTTGGCATCGCTTTCCGTTGCTTTCCACTGCTTGGCGGTGATTGGCATTGCTTGGCAGTGTTTGGCACTGCTTGGCACTGCTTGCCGTTGCTTGGCATTTCTTGGCATTGCGTCTCATTGTAGACAATGTGTTGCATTGGCTTTGCATTGCTTGGTATTGCCTGGCGTTGCTTGGAATCGTTGGTGGGCATTGTTTGGAATCGTTGCTTGGCATTGATTTGTACTGCTTGGCATTCATTGGCTTTGCATTTGCTTTGCTTTGCTTTGCTTGGCATTGTCTGCTAATGCTGCGCATGTCTTGGCATAACATAACGTTGCTTGCCATTGCTTTGCATGCTGAGGAGCCCTGGGCAACGCCGGGGGCCCGCGGAACCTGGAGGAACACCGAGGACTCCTGGGCAACGCGCAGGACCGCCTCTCACGAAAGGCCCCGACCAACGAGTTTCTGCCGCAATAAAATAAGACCTCCCTAGCCAGAGCGTGATTGGGGAAATGGGGATTTCGCCCTGGCGCGGCGCCGCGCACACTGGTCGTAAAACATGTGGAACATTTGCGCGAATGGAGGATGGTTGCTTTTCAACACCACTACCCCTTACCACAAGTACGTACTTGTGCAACACGTATGCACGGATGTAGGGCGGCTCTTCTTCAGACTGGGGAGATCTCTCGAGATGCGACGATTTTTGTTGCCAGCAATCTATAACATGGTGTAGCCGTTGCCCGGATGAGGGGCAGTGTCCTTCCAATTTCAACACATGTTCACAACTGTGCAATTGCGCAATGGGTGCACGGATGGATCGCAACTCATTTTCAAAATGGGTCTCTCGCTTCAGACTGGAGAGCTAACACTGCGTAACTGTCACCCAGATGGATGATGTCTCCACTTCAAAGCGGGGCTGCCACATGGCATTTCCTTTAACTTTACGACCCCATCTTGTCGCCCGCATTGCAGCTCGATGGGACGAACGCAATTTCTTTCAAAACGGAGCTCCCGCCTGAACTGAGAGCCCATGCGGGGCTCGTCTTTCGAGGAGGGAGCTTCGCGCAATGGAGAAGCATGCAAGTATGAACGAATGGGGAGAGGACTTGGGGCGAGATGGTGCGTCAACACGTCGTTGACACATCGTTGAGACATCCTGCCTTTCATCCTCCTCGCTCTTCTCCTCCTCCTCCTCCTCCTCCTCCTCCTCCCGGAGTTCTCTCGAAGTGCCCAGCCATCGGTCATCCTCTTCCTCCTCCGCTCAGACTTTAGCTACATGGCTGAAGCGCTCTTGTGGGAAAGTAGAAGCAGTGCGAGGCCGACTTGGGCATAACGACCGACACATTAAGCAGACGGCGCGTGCAGAACAAGACGTGCGAGCAGAGAAAGAAGCAGAGCAGCCCATCAGTGTATGCTCCTCCTCCTCCTCCTCCTCCACGCCCCCCTGCCTCCTGGCGCACAAGGTCGGGTCCGCCGCGCACCCGGGCGAATTCCCCCCCCCCCTGCGCGGCGGCCCCTGCAAGAGATCGTTGTCACGACCGCCCTTCTGGCCAACCTCCCCGTGCTCCCTCCTCGTCGCCAGGAGGGACATAAGTCCTGAGAGAAACGGATCCTGAGTTTTTTCGCGTTGTTCGGGCTATCGGGGCCCCATCCCCGGGACCCGGGGGCTGTCAGGAAGCGACTCGGGATGAAAAACTCGTCCGGGGGGAAGGCCTCGGGGTCCAGGACCCACCTCCTCCTTCCTCGGAAGTGGGGGTTCGCCAACTGTGGCCCGAGGCGTGTGCGCGGACGAGGGGGGGGCCAGGGGATGCATTGAAATCAGAGCAGGGGCCCATGATATCTGGGAGATAGATCGTGGCCCTGGCCATCACACTCCGCCCTCCCCCCGAATCCGCTCCTCCCTCTTGAAGATTCCCGAAAGATACGCGTCGCCAGGTGGTCCCTGGGCCCCGCTGACAGGACGGGCGCCTCGGCCCAGTGCTCGTGGGGCTGGCCCTGGAGGGACGCAACCCTCCTCGCACAGCCATGGGAGGTGGCCCAGGAAAGGCCGGAGGCAGACATCCATGATGATGCTGCTGATGATGATGCTGATGCCGATGATGCTGATGCTGACGCTGATGATGATGCTGATGACGATGGTGATGAAGACGATCAATACAATGATACTCAGGATGATGCTGATGATACTGGTCGTGATGATGAAGATGATCAGTATAATCATACGGATGATGATGCTGATAATAATGATCGTGCCGATGCCGACTATGTTGATGATGGACACGATGGATGACGATGAAGATGAGGCTGCTGATGAGCATGACGACGATGATGGTGACGACGATGGCGATGACGACGAACATGACCATTCTTGCGATGGCGATGGCGATGATGATGATACTAATGATACTGTTGATGATGATGATGATGATGATGATGATGATGAGGATGATGATGAGCTGATGCTGATGCTGATGCTGATGCTGATGATGGTGATGATGATGGTGATGCTGCTGTTGCTGAGAATGATGATGATGCTGGCGATGCTGATGCGGCTGATGACGATGATGATGATGATGCTTTTGACGATGTTGGCGACGATAGGGAAGATGAGGGTGATGATGCTGATGGCCATGACGACGCAGAATGGTGATGACGACGATGACACGAAAGATGCTGGCGATGAGGATGCTGATGACCACGGTGATGATGAGGATTAGGATGAGGACGTGGATGATGATGCTGCTGCTGATGATGATGATGAAGATGATGATGGTGTCGATGACGACGTCGGTGGTATTGATGTCTACGATGGTGGTGTTGATGATGGTGATGATGCTGCTGATGACGGTGATGACGATGACAAGGATTATGATGATGAGGAGGAAGAGGAGGAGGAGGAGGAGGCATGGGATGGTGAGGAGTAGGAGCAGGAGAAGGTTTGGGGGAGGAAGGGAGGAGGACGAGGAGGAGAACCAATGTAAATCCAAGACGCAGTAACGATTTTGGAAAAGAAACCTACCTCCCAGTTCCGTCTTCAGATGGCCCTACAAGTGGGAAGTTCCCCACTGGAAGACAGCAGCGCGCGAATCCTCAATCTGTCCATTCCACTATTCCTGGGACATCCACACTGCGAGGAGGAGGATGGGGGAGGCGGAGGAGGAGGAGGAGGTTGAGACGGAGAAGGATGAAGGGCTAAGGTAGCATGGGGGGGGGGGGCGGGCCGGTGCGCCCAGACTATGGCCGATGCGGCGGGGCCTTCTCAGTAGTTGTCGTTCTTGTCGTTGTTGCTGTAGCTGTAGCGCTCAGAAGGCACGAGCTTGCCGAATGGCCAACGGGCCCAGGTATCGTAGATGTTGAAGCGCTCATATGGCACAAGCTTGCCTCGTCGCAGCTACCCTCATTGCGGCCGTCATCAGATGTACATCCCCATCCACACGCTTCACATATGTCATCGGGATAATGAGCCAAGTTCGCGTGCCACCGCAGCCCGAGCAAAAAGGTACCCGATGCGAGCGTAGATTATGTACTCAAAGCTTATTGGAGCCAGTGAGACGGCCAAAGTCGATGCAGAGCGTGCCACCAGAGCGCCCCAAAACCTTGCCGACCTTGCCATTCATGGCAACAGTCATGAGCGAGCGGGCCTGCGCAACAGCATTGTTCTTCGGCGTCCTCGGCGTGATCAGCTACTCGTCGGCGTCCTCCTAAGTGACGCTGCCCTTGGAGGCGAGGTCGTCGAGGACATGACCGCCAGAGCGTTGCAGGATGACCTCACTCCGCGGATTCATGTCCTCCCCGGCGTCGGCGCGGCCCAAGTCGTCCTCGATGCCGTGGTCGGCGAGGCTTTGCAGGAAGTCATCGCTCCTAGCGTTGGCATCCTTCACGCAGTCCGTGCGGCTCGGCTGGGCTTTCGCGGCCCTGCGTTGCCGTCGCGAGAGCTCTGGGCGCGCGATTGGGATCTCCACGGGGGCGGCGGGGCACATCGCGCACCTCAGGTGGCGGCGAGGGAACAGCAGCAGGAGGGGGAGAAACCGAAGATGAGGTTGACAATGTCGCCGCACATCTCTGCCATTTTGTCGGACTAGGCCTTGTTTTGCTTCTGCAGTTTCTCGATAAGCGCGTCGTGCATGGACTGAGCGATGTCGGAGGTGTACTTGTTATGTTCCGCCTTCGTTTGGAGAAGTTTCTCGTCCAAGAGCTTGCCAT